CCCTGTACCGGAACCGAACCTGGGCCCCTTCAGTCCGCAGGCTGACGCTCCATCCACTGAGCCAAACCGGCTATGGCAACAAAAAAATATTTTTAAAAAATTAGCCATAAATATTATGGTTGTTACTTTTCTAACAGAAAAATAAGAAATTTCCTGAGATAATGACAAGATATTATCATCTAATGTTTAACTCAAAGGTCACAGATTTGTAACTTTCAACCTCACTTTGGGCACAATGTGTCGGAAATGGAATATGCTGTTTGCTTTTATGTGAATTCTGTTTGTCAATCCACCTCTATAGAGAAATCACGTCACCCCAAAGAGCCACGGGCCATTTGGGTATAAACATAACAATATAGTAGGAAGCTTGGTTTTCTTGAAGATGGTTATGAAATAAATATTCCAGAATTCTAACTAATCCTTTGCTCATGAAGAGAGTGGGAACTACAGGAAGGGCCAGACGAAGGTGGGAAGATCACTGGGGGATGACGAGAGGAAGATGTGTGATGGTCACTTTCAACCCGACAAGGCCCAACACTCTCTGGGAACAGGAAGAAGATTCAAGTCATTTCTTAAAAAAAAATTTTTTTTACTGATTTCAGAAAGGAAGGGAGAGGAAGAGAAAGAGAGAAAGATCAGTGATGAGGGAGGATCATTGCCCCGTTGCCTCTGCATATTGGGGATCGAGCCCACAACCCAGGCATGTGCCCTGACCGGGAATCGAACCGTGACCTCCTGGCTCATGGGTCGACACTCAACCACTGAGTCACAACTGCTGGGCTAAACTCTGTCTCTTGAAAGGCAGCCCTAAAACTCACAAGGGAAGGGGCTGACATTCCAGGGAGCAGAGTGTGAGCTAGATGACTCAGGCACCTTACCCAGGGAGACCAAGTTACTGTAGTTCTCCAACATCACGTCCCAGTACAGGTCCCTCTGCGTGGAGTCCAGGCAGGCCCACTCCTCCTGGGAGAAGTCGATGGCCACGTCTGAGAATGTCACGGGACCCTGAGAACACAAACCCACATGTCCCTGAGGAAACGGAAGGGCAGTTTCAAGACGAAGGAAAGGAGAGGCAGGCCTACGCTCTGGGTAGAGTGGACACAGTGCCTCCCGGAAAGCCTGAGATGGGAGGGGACAGTGAGGGCGTGGCTGTGACAGGCAGAATCCCTCCGTGCGATTGCAGAGAAAAGCCGGCTGCACCTGTGCAATTCCGCACCACAGCCTGCGGAGCAGGGACAGAGCGGTCCCGGCTTCCTCCCATTCCCACGCACACAGCCTGCCACGGGTCTGCCTCACAGCATTCCTCCGGCTTTGTTTCAGAAATGTAACATGCGATCTCTTATCTTCGAAAACAGGGTTGGCCTGTTTGAATATTTTCAAGCCTCAAGTTCATCGTTTTGCCAGGCTATCTTTTAAGCAGTCTTCCTTTGTAATGACAGAAGACATTTTTAAAATTCCACCACATGGACAGATTAGACTGAATGACAGTGATTGCACCAAACGACTCTGGTTGTCCGCAGTTCTGGGAGCATGTGGTCACCTATTCCTCTGTCCTGGATGCTCTGACCCATGACCACCCCCCCCACTCCCCATCCCTTGTTCCTGATTGAAAGGATGCTGGTGGCAAATGATGCAGATACACACAGAGGCCTGCTCAACAAGAAGAGTGGCCTCTCGGGTCCCCTGGCCTCAGCCCCTGCCCTGTCGGATGCTCACAGCCTCAGAGCCTGGGCTGTCCCCACACACTAACCCCGAGGCCAACTAATATGCACATCCCCTCTTTTCTGCCTGGAACAGAGGATTTCTGTGTCCTCCTGTGCTCAAAAGCGTCCAACATCTCCAACTAATCAGACCACGGACCCGAAGCAAATCTTTCTCCCCAGGGACTCTCTTCCTCCATTCCCCCAACATTCCCGCTGACAAAACACTGAGCATAAGGGAGGTACTGAATCATCAGCGCCATGTTCTATGAACGTGGGCCCCGAGGTGGGCGAGGGGCTATGCGGCATCACCATGGACGGAATGGAGAGGACTGGAAGCAGGTCATCGGATGGGGTTCCCTGGGGCAGGAGGCTTGGGATAATTCATAAAAACCACCATGGGATCCAAATAGCACACTGCGGGGAGGGAAGAGACATACACACTTACGTGGGCCATAGTTTCAGAATCAGGACCTGATGAGTTGTCTAAGGGCTTCCTTCACTGCAGACAGACTCTGGAGAAGGCGGAGCTGGGCCAGGAGAAAGAGGCATTGAAGTCAGTGCTCCTGGGTCCCCAGAGTGACTTCACACAACCTTCCTGCTCCTCCATCTTTGCTTCGCAAGAATGCCAGCTCCTTCCCAGCACCCCCACACAGACACCACAGGTCAGGAAAAGATCGGAGGGAAACAGGCTCTCCCTCCAACTCCAGGACACCCAGCAGCACAGGGCAGAAAAGAGGGGTTTTTAGTTACTTTTTTGCTTTGAAGTCAGACCCAAACATTTTAGCAGGAGGATCTTCAGCCAGCTCCCTGTTAGGGGTAAGTATTAAGGATTTGCTCTTGACCAAAGAGAGACCTGACCTTTGTCCTCAGTTTCTGAGAGGTAATCTGCATCAGGCTTGATAGGAAGGTCTTTTGTTTTGGGTACTAGCTGCCATGCTGCATCTTAGGGTGGGCCTCACCATACCCAACAATCTTTGGGTGGGGCTGGGCATACCCAACAATCTAAGGGTGGGGCTGGGCATACCCAACAATCTTAGGGTGGGGCTGGGCATACCCAACCATCTTAGGGTGGGGCTGGCCATACCCAGCAATCTTAAGGTAGGGCTGGCCATACCCAACAATCTTAGGGTGGGGCTGGCCATCCCCAACAATCTTAAGGTAGGACTGGCCATACCCAACAATCTTTTTTTTTTAAAATATATATTTTATTGATTTTTTACAGAGAGGAAGGGAGAAGGATAGTTAGAAACATCGATCAGCTGCCTCTTGCACACCCCCTACTGGGGATGTGCCTGCAACCAACGTACATGCCCTTGACCGGAATCGAACCCGGGACC